TTCCACCAAACCCCGGCTACTAACACTGAAGGCCGACACATCTGCAGGATTTTCAGCATTCTTGTTAAATCTTCATAAATTGATAGGGCTTTCTCTCTTATGGTGAGAAAGGTGGTCCCAGATCACTTATTCGTTTAATCTTCTATCCACACACTTAGGAACTTGAGGAGATGGAGCAACTTCTTTGTCCGTGACCTCTCCGTTTTGCTAGCACTCAGACTTGATCCAGCAATACAGCTTGCTTTAATCTTTTGTGCATTGTGTCTAATGGTGCGTAAGGTAGACTTCTTTATACCTGTTATGTGAACTATATAACATGTTCTGTCATTAAGCTCAAAACGCTTTATAACATTTAGCTTCTTTTCCGCTGTTATAGCCTTTCTTTTATATTCACTACCTGCAATTTTATCACCAGGACTCTTCTTGCTAACATTCTTGTCACTTTGTCCTCATGTTTTTGGGGGTAACGCAGCAGAATTTGCAAAAAAAAAAGAAAATCACTGAGTACTGTATCTGTATCAGAAAGCACTTCGTGACAAAGCCTGTGAAATGATCACATGATGACAGTGCGGAGAATCTTTTGGCGCTAACTTTGCACATGCTCAGGACAAAGCCCACGAAACAATCATGTGATGTCAACGCGTACTCCTCCGTGCACTGATGGAATCTCGTTATAGCCAACACAAGTTTGTGTTTTAGAAATAGCGTTCCCATATTCATCAGTCACATTATAGCCAATTCACAGTGCCGGAACACGCGTTATAGTAGAACCGATTGTTACTGCTAAGTATGAGCTTAGATATAACTACCCATAATTGAGTAATAATTTTACCATGGAATATATGCAGTATAAATTATTATGCCCACATTGATAAAATAAATCATTCATACTGCAGTTACACCGTCCTACTGCTGGTGGCATTGTAGTGCTTTGGTTTTGCATCTGCAAGCTCAGCCAGAACGTCAGTGAAATTGTCCACTGTTTCCTATGTTACTAGAAGTTTAATTAGTTCATTGTACATTGAATTACTCTACTTTAACATTCAAGCTAAGTTTTATATCCGCATACCTTAGTCTCCCAGCATCTCATCACTGTTTCAACTGAAGAATACATTTGCTGTAATGATTTTCTGTGCAAAATTGCAGTAGATCAACTAAATCAATATTGTCCAGTATGGTTGCCATTAGCCGCATGTGGGCGATTACGAATTCATATATGTTTAACTGCAATTTTAATTATTCGTTCATGGAGCAACCCATTGTTGTTAGTGGCACAATATATCTATAAATATATTTAAACGAATATTTTTGGACCCCCTTAAAAAATCCGATGAAACTGCTGTGACACTGAACCATTGTTGTAATTCTGTGGCATTATTAGAATTGCCAGAACTAATAACTGACAATTATTACTTTTACAGTCAGACTCTGTGTCAAATAAAAATCAGCAGTAATTGATACAAAGACTTTAGTTTATCAGCAAACTGAAACTGCTGACTAGCTGCCACACCTAAGCCTTTACAGTATCAGTACAAAGTCCTGTCAGTAAAGCACAGAACAGATAGTTTGATCGTGTGACCAGCTGCAATAAAATTACTAGAAACAATGCAAGTAGGGTAATCGAGTTTACTTCCAATAAATTTGGAAGATTTAAAAGTAACATTAACTTTTGAAAGGATATAATTGCCTAATTAGATTTAATTGTTCAGTTGGAAAGATGAAATATGATCACCAATCATTCTGTTCAAAAAAGAAAATAGTTTTTCAAATTCAGACTTTTTTATCTATTCATCAGATGTGGGCATCACTGGCAGGATAACTGATCATCTGAACCACAGCCTTGAACCACTACAATCCGAGTAGGTAATGATAGGAAGGGAGTTCCAAGGTTTTAACCCACTGACAATGAAGAATTCTTTTTTTTTCTATATAATATATATATTGTATAGTTCCAAATCATGATAGCATGTGACTTGGAGGGAAGCTGACAATCTGTCACAACTTGTGTAGAGATTGCAAATTTTGAATATGATGTTGAAGAAACCTCAGTGAGTTGATCCACTGAATCTTGTAGATGCTGCACATGGCAGCCACGGTATGCCCATAGTGTAGGGAATACGTGTTCAATGTAGCAAATAAAGTGCTAATCAAGAAGCCCGCTTTTTATTGAATGGCGTCAAATTTCTTGAGTGTTTTTGGAGCTTTACATTCACGCAAGGGAAGAGTATTCATCATTTGTGCTTTGTAGATGGTAGAAAGATTTTGGGGGTCAGGAGTTCTTGCAGCAGAGTACCCAGTCTTTGATAACGGCAGTATTTATGTAGCTGATCAAGTTAATGTTTGATATTCCCAGGTATTAGATGGTGGTGTTGGACTTAGCAATGGTAATGCTATTGAATGTCAAGGAGAAGTGATTAGACTCCGTTACAAGAGATGTTTTTTGCCTGGCACTTCTGTAATATGAAAGTTAGTTATCATTACAAGCCAAGGCCTGAATGTTGTCTAGGTCTTGCTGCATGTGTGTATAGATTCCTTCATTGTCTGAGAATGTTCACTACCATTTACACTATCTGCAATCATTAAACATGCTCACTTCTGACCTTTTTGGAGAAAAGATCACTAAAGAAACTGAAAATGGTTGACGCTAGTACATACCTCTGAACAACTGGGGGCTGTACTAATTGGCTTGCAAGTGTCGTCTTTTGTGCTACATATTAGTTCAACCAGTGCCCACCCTCCCAATCGCATTGATTTCAGTTTTGTTGAAGTCCCTTGAAGCCACACTTGGTCAAATGGTGCTTTAATTTCATCCTTGGAATTCAGCTCTTTTTCAGTATGTGAACCGAAGCTGTCATGTTATCTGGAAGCAAGTGGTCATAGTAACACCTAAACTGGGAATCAGTGAGCAGGTAATTGGTAAGGTCTGCTTGATAACACTGTCAAGGGCACCTTTTGTTTCTTTCCTGATAATGACAGTAGACTGGAGGTAATTGGCCAGACTGATTTTAGTGATAGGACATAATTAGGCAATTTTCTGTTTTTGTTGGGTAGATGTCAACATTGTAGCTGTTCTGAACCAGCTTGTCAAGATATGCAGCTAGTTCAGGAGCACAAGTCTTGAGTGCTGGAGCTAGTATGTTGTTGTTGTTGTCAGTAGGTTTTATTTTTGCTGGATCCCATGTATTTAAGCTGTCTCATGATTATTGTGTTGTGAACTAAATTGGGTTTAGACTGACATCCTTAGATCCATGATCCCCTAAGAGGCCAAAATGGTCATTCATTCAGGACTTCTGATTGAAGATGGCTGCAAATATGTCAGTTTTGTCTCATTCAGTCTCCTGGTTTTTTGAATTTCTCAGTAAGATGGGAATACTTCTCCACTTAGTTGTTTACTTGCCCACCACCATTCATAAGCGGATGTGGCAAGTATGTAGAGTTTTAATGTGATTTATTGGTATTGGGATCGTTTGGTTCTCACTAAAACCTGTTGCTTATGGTGTTTATTGTGCATGTGGTCCTGTGTTGTAATTTCACCAAGTTGGCGGCTCATTTTTAGGTATGCCTGATACAGGTCTTCTGCACCTTTCATTAAACCAGTGTTAATTCCCTGACTCGGTGCTAACAGTAAAGTGAAGGATGCAAGGCTGCAAGTATCCCACACTGTATCATGGAAGTCTGTTTTTGAGCTGCAAAATTGTTCTGAATCACATTTTGTCAGGCCCAGTGTTACGGCTGTGTTCTTGTATGTTCAGGGCTGTGGTGCTACTGTAGTACTCTTGGTGTTGGATGTTGAAACTCTCTCTCTCTGTCTCCTCTTCCTCCTCCTCTTCCCCACAAGAAAGGTTGCTGCTTCTGGGTGGTACATGAAGTAGTACTGCTTTGTCATGTGGTAAGACAAAAACACACTGGTCCATTCTTGATTTAATTCCGTTAAGTCTGGATGGAGTCTGAATACAAGTGTGGAGTATCTCCCTGGGTATACTCTCCTGACTTTAGACATTATTGCCATGTCATTTCTCATGGGTCTGTCCTGCCAGTGGGATAGAACATGCGTATGGATGGTGATAAAGGCCTGTGACATTGAGCCATGATCATGGAATCAAAGCTGGGCATCCATGACGCACTCTGATATTAGCAAGATTGCATTCCCCTCTCATCACCATTATTATCAAGGGAATAAATGCTCACATTAATACCAAGCAGGACTTACCATTAACAAAGCTGTTGCTTGAATGGTATGTTGTACCAATGTTGACACAACCCCAGATATTGGCGTAGAGGATTTGCAGAGTTAACTGACCTGGATGCATCTTTGTTGTCTTCAGTGCTTGGTTCAATGCTGGATTTTTTGGTTTAAATTATTATTAGACTTTTCCTTGTAACAGCTGCATCCACTGCTATCCCTGCTTGATAGGCCGTATCGGTCAGATGGCATAAAGAAGACAGGCTTTCTTTCCTAAAAGATGTTTGTAAACCAGACGGATGTTTTTACAATAATCCAATAATTTCATGTTTGGCGTTATTGAAATTAGCTTTTATTCTAGATTCAGTTCATTATCTGAATTTGAATTCCCAAGTGCTCAGTAAATTTGTAATTTAAGTGGTTGGTTTCATTAATCCAGGTGTCTGGATTACAGATTCAGTAATGTTAACCATTATGGTACCATGAAAAATGTATAAACTAACGTACATTATGTAGGCATTTCATATTTCTAGCAGTTTTATAACTGAAATTAATTATATGAAATGGCCTGAATTACAACTTCTAATTTTTAAAAGATTTTGCATTGGGCATGCACAAATGATTTTTAATTCAATCTTAGCTTTCTTTTCTTTGTTAAAACTTTTATCTTGAGGTGCCTGAGAGCTTCCATCTGCTTAAATGCTTTTTGATATTTTGGAAAGTTGGGTGGTAATGTCACATTACAAGTGACCTTAATAAGCTGTTAATTTGGTTTCAAGAACCTTTAATCTTCACTTTTTGTTTCTTTATTTGATAGAATCAAGGGCTGGTGGGTGTCTCATCATTATGTGTCGACATTTCTCTCCGGGGTAATGTTAACATGGTAAGTTTTTTTTTGTTTTCCCCCAACAACACTGAGGAAAAGTACACTCTAGAACATTCTAATTTATTGGGAAATTCATAGTCAATTATCTAGTTATATTTACAGTGAAGTCTTCCCCTCTCCAGTTGTTAAGCATGATATTTGCTCATGCCATTGGAAACGTTCCATCCTCAGTCTGTGCTGAATTTGCTAGTTTCAGCGAACAAAGTGGTGGAGTATTGCAATTAGCTATAACGTCACTGAACTGAGGAAATAAGAATTAACCGATATATTTTTACAACTGATCACAATACTGTGATTCTTCTGGAAGTACTCATGTGCAGACACCAGCTGGAATTTTAGCCTTTATCTCAAGTAAGGTGGAATATTAAAGGATGAAGATAATGTCACATTCTGGTAAGCACTAGGTAAATCCCATCTGAAGTTCTGTATTCGGTTTTGGATGCACAAGAAAGATATAATGTCCTTGCAGAGAATGCAGTGCAGATTCTTCAAGAAGGATAGCTAAATGTTTTAAAAATGTTTTTAGATAGGTTGCATCCACCAGGCTTGTATTCCCTTGAGTATAGAAGATTAAGGTGTTATCTAATTAAAGTGCTTCAGGTGATTAAAGGATTTGATGGATAGAAATTATTTCCTCTTCTAGGAGCTCTAGAACTTTTACGTTAAATTAGAGTTAATCCATTCAGAAATAATCTCCAGAAGCACTGCCTCATACAAAGTTTAGTGCAGTTGAGGAGCTCTCCCTTAAATCTGTTGAAGGTAAGGTAATTTGAACATTTCAAAAGTAGGATTATTAGATTTTTATCGCACAACACATTTGGGGATCAAGAAGCAAGCTGGGAAAATGGAGTTGAAATACAGATCAGCCATGATCAAATTGGACAGCAGAACAGGCCTGAGTGGCTAAATGACTTAGTCCTGTTTTAGTGATCAGATTTGAATAGTTAATTATTCCATCTGCACAATTAAGTAACTTGCAAACACTTGCTGTCAAGATTCACACACAAAATGGTCACTTTACTTGAAGTTGTGAAGAATAACTTCTACTTGAGCCACAATAGCTCGGTCAGTGGGTAAAAATCTTAAGGAAAGTAAAGCTGGTGGAATTAATGACTGAAAAATAGGAAATGTTCACAGGACTAGATTATTTTTATTAGTATAGTTTGCTGCACTTTTTAAAAACTTCTGTTTTTAAAGATTATTTGAATGCCAATGTGAATTAAGAGCTCATATAAATGATCAGAAAATAATTCTGAACTATTTTTGTTAATATTCATCTCTTTTATTCTTAAGGCCCAATGGGTTAATGTATCAGATGTTTCGCAGCCAATTTCTAGCATTTTCCATTTATCAAAGTAAGCATTTTGTTTTCTGTGCCTTCTTAATTTTGTGAGCTAATTTCTGTTTAAGAAACAAGTGCTAATTGACATTTGTAGCAATATGCAAATTTTGGTAATCAATTTGGAGTATGAATGTTATCAATTGCGTTTCCAGTCAGGCTGACTATAATTGCGGCCTCATTTCTTGAAATGTGGTGCTAAAATTTTTATATTCATGTTAAGTTAGTTTAACCTTGCTTCCTATAGAAATTGTGTAAAATTAATAAAAGACAGCCCTAAGTAGATCTGTGGTTAACATTATTCAGGTTTCTTTTATGTCATTTGTTTGCTTTCAGCAAAGCAGTTCCTTTTAAATAAGTAATTCCATGCAATTTCTTCCTCCATGTTTTTGAGCTTTCTTTAGGTACATAGATCAGGTGTATTCTCTGGGCTGTGGATTGTACATGAAGTGTGACAATAAGAGCCTGCTTGTCCTGAAGATGAGTGACTTTTTACTGTCAAAGTCCAACGTTCCCCTTTCAACTGTGCTGTGAAATTATACGTATTTAATTTCCCATTTCACCAGCCCAAGGAAAGATGCCTTGCTTTTAATTTTGATTTTGTTGTTTTAATATTTTCCATGAGATCTAAGACAAATATTACTTTGGTGCACTTGATGGGAAATAAACATCTGTACAATTTCCCTGTTCTTGGGTACAGGAAGAAGAATTTTATATCCAGCAACTAAAGATACATTTGTGATGAGATTTTAACTATAAGCAAGCAATCATGTTGTTCTTGAGTAAAAACTATCAACTTCTTAGTTAAGGATAATTAAATGGGGAGGAAGAGAAGTCAGCCTCAATATTGTATCTTCTTGGGCAATGTTCTGGACTTTGTACGTTGGAACAGACTCCTTGGAATGGTATTTAACATTTGCATTTACTGTGCAGAAGAAGTCAAATAATTTTTATCGATGTTGTTCTGTAAGCAAGGTAATCAGAATACTTAGAACCCTCCAATAGTTACAATGTGGAATATATCCATTGATATTTATTGTATTTTTCCCCTTCTATGATTGTTCTCGGATTATGCATAATTTGTTAAGGTTATGAATCCATTTTCTTACAGGTTGTGTACAGTTCCTGCAGTATTATTACCAAAGTGGCTGTCTTTATAGGTTGAGGGCCTTGGGGGAAAGGGATCACATGGACCTTACAGTAGGTATGTGCTGCAGCAATAATCCGTCTTCCTACGATGTTAACTATTTGCAACACTGAGCCACAGGATAAGGGAATGTGGAGTTGGTGCCCATCATCTTTCATGGACTAATGCCTCAATATTGATTGTTGGCCTGCGTAGATTTCACGTGCCTTAGATTTTACTTCCATTCTTGTGGCAAGAGTCATACTAGCATATTATTATTATTATTATTAATAATAATAATAATAATAATAATAATATTATGTTAATAATATTTCTAGGGATGTGGGTAACACTGGCAAGGCTGGTACTTATTTTCTCTCCTCAGTTGCCGTTGAATAGTAGCAGTGTGTTGCTACCTTGAACTATTTCAATTGATCTGTTCAGATTGACATTCCAGTTTTTTCAGTCCCAGCTACTCTTGGAGCCATTCTCTGTAACCTGCTTAGATATAAAGGTTTCAGCTTCGTAGATTTGATATACCTGCATAATTTGATTTCATTTACAGCAATGTCTGCTTGATGTAGCATGGATAAGTTTCCTCGGCTCCTAATTTGAATCCACTACAGCAGTTTTGCAATAAAAATTATCAGAATCTATTTCAGTAAATTAGTCACACCATCTTCACTGAACATTATTCTTTAGTAATAGAAACGAGGAGCAGGAATAGGCCAATTAACAACACTTCAAGCCTGTTTCACCACTCAGATGATCAGCTGTGATCAGATCATCTCAATATGATTCCCACTTTCTCTCCATACCCCTTGATGCCTTTAATATCTTAAACTTTATCAATCTCTTCTTTGAATGTACTGGGTGACCTGGCCTCCAAAGCCTTCAATGGTAGAGAATACCACAGGTTGACCACCCTCCTGGTGAAGAAATATTTCCTCCTCTCAGTCCTAAATGGCCTACCCCATACCCTGAGACTGTAACCCTGGTTCTAGACTCTCCAAATAGGGGAAGTATCCTCCCTGCATCTAGAACAAACAAAAACAGAAATTACTGGAGAAACTCAGCAGGTCTAGCAGCATTTGTGCAGAGAAAATAGAGCAAACTTTTCAAGTCCTATGAACCTTCTACAGAACAGGTCTGAACCTCTATATTTCTGTTCTGTTTTTGTTTGTTTCAAATCACCAGCACACAAAATTCCTTGTTTTACCTCACTGCACCCAGTCTGTCTAGCCCTGTTTAGATTTTGTATGTTTCAATCAGAGCCCCCCTCATTCTTCTAATATCTTATGAATACAGGCCCAGTCAAACCAAACACTCCTGTTCCAACAGTTCGGTCATCCTGGTATCAGCTTAGTGAACCTTTGCTGTACTCCAGGTGTGGTTTCACCAAGGCCCTGTATTAAAGCAGTAAGGCATCCCTACTTCTGAACTCTCATCCTTTTTGCAGTGGAGGGCAACATACCATTTGCTTTACCAATTGCTTACACCTACCTTTTTACTTCCACTAACTGATGCACAATGACATCCAGATCCCTATGTACATCCCCTAATATATCCCCATTTAATTAAGACCCTGCATATCTGTCTTTTGTGCCAAAGTGTTTAACTTCACATTTATCCACATTTATACTGCATCTGCCTTATATTTGCCCAAACACTCAACTTGTCTGGAAGGCCTTGAAGCCCCCTTCCATCATCTTCACAATTCATAATCCCCCGTAGTTTTGTTTTATCAGCAAACCTCAAAATATTGCATTTGGTTCCCTCCTCCAAGTCATTTATATATACCACCAATAACTGGCACCCAAGCATTGATCCCTATAGTTCACCACTAGTTACCATCTGCCATCTGGCATTTATTCCCACTCTGGTTGACAGACTAGAAACAGTTCTCAATCTTTACATTACATCCCCTGTGCTTTAATTTTGCCCACTAGTCTCTTATGGCTTAAAACCTGGGCATCTAGTTTGTAATGTTGTTGGGTGCACAGTGAATCTCAACCATATATCATAATTGTTCCTGTCACTAATGTTTAATATATAATATACAAAATGTTACTCCTAGTGTCTGAATTTTAAATAAAACTTCCACAGCATTCTCCTGGATGCAGTGAGAAAGTATAATTTCAACCCTGAGGCTGTCCTGTTGGGATCATTGGGAGAGAAAGTGGAGAATTTTCTTCCTCTTGCCACATCTCTCTCAATTCAAGCAAGCATCTTCATAAGCAGGTCCACTTCTGGAGTATTGAAATGCCCAACTTTATTGCTTGGAATCTTGTCCAAATTCAAAGAAAATAAAATTAAATTACATATAGGCTTACCATCTCCAGTTGCTGATTTTTTTTTTCTTGTTTGTGTATAAATGAAGAAGACCCTAAATACCGGAGTACGTAGTTTCCGTATAGACCAGGTGAAATAATTATTTTTCTCTAACTGTAAGGAACAGAAGTTTTGTATTCTTACGTTTATATTTAAACTCCCAAAATTTGATGCAAGGCTAAGAATTTTCACATTGACACTCTCATATGCTGATTATCCATACTGTATTTATAATTGCAGAAGGATTTCAGTCATGGATGTGGAGAGGTTTAACTTTTCTTCTTCCGTTTCTTTTCTTCGGTCACGTAAGTATAACTGTCTTTGCTAATAATGATTTGGAAAATGTTTTCAAATATGTCTCATGGAATCTGATTTTGGAGGGAATGAATAATATTCAGGGATGTAAAGGATTGGAAGAGGTAGCAAAGGATAACTGGGAAGAATGCAGTGGCAGGATGAAGTGTTGGAAATGGAGGAAAGCCTTGAGAGGTCAAAAATTGAATCATTTGATTAGATTTGAGGACTACTGGGCGTGTTCTATAAGCCTGAAAATATTGAGAGAAAATTGAGGGGAAATCGTGTGCAAGAAGAATAGACATGTGGTACTGGAGGACTTTAACTATCCAAATATTGATGGGAATAAAATTAAAGTAAATGGAAGAGAGGGGTAAAAGGAATTTCTAAAGTTTATTCAGTGGAACTTCCTTGAGCAGTATGTTTTTGAGAAGTATATTTTTGGCCCAAATAGGAGACATTGATGGATGAGGATCTGATGTTGGGGATTTAGGTGGTCCAGGTGCTGTCTGTGGGCAGCATGGTGGCTCAGTGGTTAGCACTGCTGCCTCACAGCGCCAGGGACCCGGGTGTGATTCCAACCTTAGGTGACTATCTGTGTGGATTTTGCACGTTCTACCCATGTCTGTCTGGGTTTTTGCCAGTTTCCTCCTCCAGTCCAAAGATGCAGGTAAGGTGGATTGGCCACGCTAAATTTCCCTCTAGCGTGCAAGTTTGTGCAGGCTAGGTGAAATAACCGTGGTAAATGTGGGGTTATGGAGATAGGATGAGGATTTTGTTTTGGGGGTTCGGTGCAGACTTGATGGGTCAAAAGGCCTTTTTGCTGCACTGGAGGGGTTCTATGTGGACCAAGTCCTTGTTGAAGAGACTTGGGTAAGAATAATCTTTTGGACTATATCCGGTTTAGATTATTAATATTGAAGTATGGGAACAATCTAAAATAAACTTTTTTAAATTGGGAGAACGCTAATCTCAATGGGATACGATGGCATCCAGCTAAAGTAAAATCAGACTAAGGTTTAGCTGGAAAAGGCATAATGGTACAATGGTCTTTTAAAGAGTAGAAATTTCAAGTGCAAACTAGGTACATTACATCTGAAGAGAAAGATGGGGGTGAAAAGTTCATTGCCCCTTGGAGAATGAGAGGGATTGAGAGAACCTAATTAAACTTTTAAAAGAACAGTCTGTGTCATGCACATCTGGTGAATGCTTCGAGTATGAACTAGCCAAATAAAATAGTTGTGAGGAAAATAAGATTGACAAAGAGGGGATATTAGAATAGAATGGCAGTTAACATGAAAGAATGCAAAATCTTTCTATCAGACTGTATAGTTAGCAGGTAGTAAGAGATGGAGTGGGGCCTGTCTGGGATAAAGAAAACTATGGATGCTTGTAGGTGCACAGTAAGGCTAGAAAACAGCATCAGTATCAGTTCAAATTTTTAAAAAATTGGCTTCAAAGGAGATAAGTGCAAATCATGGTGAATTGTTGTTTTTCAGGCTGGAGGATTGTAGATAGTGATATTTCCAAGTTTGAATGTTAGGACCATTGCTTTTTTGATACTGATAAATAACTTGGAGAGTTTAGGTGGTGCAGTGGGTAATATCCTCGTCTCTGATCCAGAAGCTCGCGATTCTACTTGCAGTGTAAGACCTGATGGCCAAGGAAAGTGTTTTTGAAATGTGACCAAACAGGCTGAATATCATCTCTAGTCCTTCAAACATATATCAATGGGGGTAAGAATGAGAGAGATTCTTGGTCAGTGATGTGATTCAAGGAAATAGGAACCCCTGTCATCACTATCCTTAGCTCCAAACTAAAACTTGTGTGTAGAAGTGTAGATTGCCACTTGTCTCCTGGAAAGTGTGGTTGGCTCATTAGGAGGATAGCGAGTGAGAACCTGATGCATAGGGTTGGCTTCAGTTTTCAGCTAGACATCTTGAAGCACATCAAGAGAGGACAAGAGTGAACTTTACAGTGATGTCTCTATATCAAATTATGAACTGACTTTCAACTGTATAGAGTTAATTGCAAGATGAATACAAGAAACACGTGGGACTGTGCTGAAATGTGGCCTCAACATCTTCAGGAGAGGAGGGGAAAGTTGTGATAAAAAGCAACAGATTTAAGTGTTTTCATACTTAGTTAATATAATTTTGTTACTTTGTTTATCCTACTTTTACAGTTTTGGCAATTATATAATTCAGTAACACTTTTTGGACTTTCACAACATGAGCGGTGCAAGGAATGGCAAGTGAGTACAGTACAGATCAAAGTAATTTCTGCTTTGGTAAAGTTTTTTCCAAGTGTATCTACCATGAGATTCATCTTTTCTGCATGACCTCTGACTGGAAGTGTTCCAATTAATAAAACCTGTTCTATTTGAGATATTTTGGGTGATACCTTTTAGTTGGTTTACCACAAAAGGCTTTTACCATTCAATGAATACAATTGTATAAATTATACCTGATAATGTAGCATGCCTTGAGTAACTGATAATGTCCTTACGCTGCAGATCAGTTAATTGTAAATCTGAGCATAGTCTCCTGGGCTTCCCATCTGACAAACAAATGGTAACCTTTCTGACATACTGTATATCTTAGGAAATGATCTACATACCATTTTTATTAAGAAATACAATTAAGTTGGCATAAGAGATATGACAATATCATTGCATTACAGTAAAATACTTGATTTCTTACCTGGTCTTTAAAGATTTAAGGCCATTGTTAATATTGGTCATTTATGCAACTTGAATCGTACGTATAAGCTTTGCCTCCTATTTATGACATTTTATATTCAGTGTTTCATTGATCTCGGATCATCAACTGCCTAATGAAACAGAAAGTCACTCATGGAGCCTTCGCATAGCCATGAAATTACCTTCTTACTCTGAAGCCCAAACTAACGTAGATTTGAGAGGCACAGAAATTGCCCAACAGGTTTTCCTTTTAACAGTGAGTAACTGCACTCCTATCCATCAGGCAGTTTGGCAATCTCAAATAACTAGTTCACTGTCTTCCCATAGTCTAGTAATGGGTGTTAACAGTTTCTAATTCTTTGTGTCTTTGACATTAGCCTGGACAGAGATAATTCCTCTGTTCTTGAAATCACAGTCTATATACCATGCAATAATGTGAATTTGTGTATACCTGATCCCAGCAAACTATTCAATTCTATCAGCTGAGACCACTCTTAGTACAAGAAATATATATTAAAAGTGACATAGTTTGTAACTTTAAATAAAACATACCAACAGTGTGCCATCTCTGGCCCCTCCACAACAGTTCCTAATAATAAACAATCCCAAATAATATATCTTTCTTTAATGGACAGAATATGGTATTCAAAGACAAGGAATGTGATTTATTTTCAAAATCATTCCAAAATGATGGTTTTTATATGATGGTTCCTTTCATTTTGCAAGTTGTTCTATTATTGCACTTCCAAAGTGTGAATGCACTGGGCAAAGGCTGACATGCATGTTTGGAGTGGGAGTCTTTGGCTGGGATTGGTGGAAACATTGTGCCGGGGTGTTCCCACAGATAGTTACACTTGCAGTGATGGTTAGCATTTGGAACAATCTGGCTAAAAATGGTTGGTTTTGCTTTTATAATTTTAAAAGCCATGCGGGGTGTTTTTGTCACTTTATTTTACCTGTTTCCTCTCTTAGGTTTTTGTCCTGGCTCTCACATTCCTGGTGCTCTTCCTTGGGAACTTTCTTACTACTCTTAAAGTTGTTCATCAAAAATTTCAGAAAAATAAAGATAAACTGAAGAAGCTATGAATGTATGAAAGTTGCTAAATAACATTGTTGAGGGAACATGGCAACCATATTCCTATTTTCTCTGTGCTCTATTTGAGGGTCTGAACACTTTGCACATTGTGACAGTTGCAAATCCAACCTCATAAATGTTTGAGAAATCTGATGCTAGCTGCATTACAAACACACATTCTTTGAGAAAGTGACAATGCTAATTTGCTTTAATTTTAAATGTATACATGGACACAATTCATTGTACTTTAAACAGGTTTGTTGAAGATTAATTTCAATGTTATTATTTCACACTACATTGAGAAATGTTACCATCTTTAATGTGATTTATTTTATCATGAACCTGTTCTGAAAATGATGTAGATGGGATGGGTAGATGACAGAAAGAGGATGTGGACATACAGAGTAAATGTTTCTCCAAGATTAGTTATTTGGTTAAAACTTTATCATGTTTTGACTAGAGTTATCTGGTTTGTGAAATTCTGCAATGTTAAAGAGGGGAAATAAATTTTGATTAAAAGTTAATCTGAACTCACCAATTAATAAGGCTGTTCTCCAATTGAAAGTTTAATACTGCGCCTTTTAAAATACAAAACATAATATTCCTATAAATTTTGAATGCGTTGTCTGTTCATACCTTGTAGATGTTATATTAACATCAAGTAAATGTGTATTACAGTATTGAATTATTTAATTTACTGATAATGTGTGCATAATATAATTTTTTAAAATAGCCATTCATTCACCCTACCGCTTTGTTTATTGGATTATTGGCTTGAATTTTGATTTAAAGACAATTCCATGCACTGTCTCTTGTCTGAGAGGGCAAACAAACAACCTCCTAATGTCCACCAGTGCCATTTTTAGCTAGTTGCATTTGCACAGCATGACTCAGAATAACTCTGATCTTTCAGTCTCATTGCACTTGGGGCAAGTGCCTGGGATCCATTTAATGCCGATGCTTGAGAGGAATCATTAGGAATTCATTAGGTTGGGATTGTGGGCAACCCTATGTCGTGCTACTTAGTAAAATTATCTTGCTGAATGAATTAACATTCTTTTTGAAATTGACAACATTTTTACAATAATGCTTGGCACATATAAGACGCAGGTGTATTCTCAGACTGAAATATCTCATTTAATTGCAAACAATTACAAATGTTAATGACTTGCCCAACTTTTTTAACTTCATTAATCCATTTGCTCTTCATTTATGCTGGTCTAAGTATTTTGGATGTAAAATTCTGTGAAATACTCTGTATTTATATGTGATATAAAGGTTATTAAAACCCATTAGTATAACTAGTCTATATGTTCTTGTAAAACAACAAATGTAATTCCTTTTTTCAAAATAATGAAGTTTTACATTTAGATCAAACAATTACATCAATTTTGGAGTTCTCAGAAGGTTTCTAACAGGTTGGTGAAATTTTAATAGACTACAACTGTGGCTCATCTAAACCTAAAGAAAACAAATGTCAGACAACTTGAATGTGTTTCTTTTGAGTTGAGTTCCATTTGGTCAAAAGGAATTTTATGCTTTTTGCTGTAGTATTAAAAATTATCTACTATTCACAAAAACGGAACCAAATCTAATGAGCACAAAATATCAGGTTCAATATAAATTAGTTCATTATTTGTTTAAGATTGATGTGACACGATACTGATATATTTCAGGGCATTTCCAATCTCCTAGCTTAGAACTGAGCTTGAACAACACAGCACAAATATTGTAGAAACCAGAAATGAGGACATATCTGTTTGGTGGTCTACTGCATCACAGCAAGTATCCATTATTCTTTAAAAATGAAGGCATGTTTACCTTAATGCATTGATAAACAGCAAGCATTGCAGCTACGCCATTGTCGCCAAATGTGAAGTATACTGAGACAACGGATATTGCCTATCACAGCCAATGTGATTTAGCATTTATTAAAAATGTGTTCTTTCGGATCGCACGTTTTAATTGACATCAAAATCTGGAATTTTTAATGTTAGTCTGATATTTTATAACGTGCTTGAAAGATATTTGCAATGACTCATAGCTTATGTGAAAATCTACTTGTTCTGGAGCAAAATATGGGCAGAAACTAAATACTGTTTGGAAAAAATTATAATTTATAAATGAAAAATCCTGTGTAATAGATATTATGGTTATGTTATAAGCAGCATATTGCTAATTGCAGTTTTCATTTTTGACTGGAGAAGAGTCTATAGATGCCTATGCAGCTGAAAATATATACATGATTGACTTTCAGAAGTGTTCAATGGGATTATGTCATATAGTGTCATGTTGGATGGTCACTAAGACCTCTGCACTCTGAAACCTAGCTGTCACCAGGAAATTATATGTGAAGCTTTTTTCAAGTTAATGCAGTGTTTTCAATTGGCTCATGCTCGAAAATTAAAATTATTTTTACTGTTTGTAACTGGACAACCAACTTTTCAAACAATGGAGCAGATTCTTGCTGAATAAAATGGGAGCAGCTGAATATCTATCTGTTAAATGTTAAAAATTAAGTTACTTAAAAAACCTGAAATCACATATTATCAGGCAAGTATCATTTAAATTATTTTAATACCAAACTGCAACAGTCCAGTAATAAGCCACAGTTTTCAACAAATTGCTTCATTTGGATCCCAGTAGAATTTGGGATGGATGTGGAACATTCCACACGCAGCTCTTTTTCCGATCCATTGATGATGTCTTCAGAGCTGCTTCCTGTTCTTGTCCAGAATTAGAAAAATTCATCAATTTTGCTTCTGATTTCCATTCTTCTTTCATCTTCACCTGGTCCATCTCTGACTCTTCTCTCCCCTTCCTTGACTTTACTATTCCCATTTCTGAGGAAAGGCTGTTCACCAATATCCATTATAAGCCCACCGATTCCCACAGTTACCTCACCTATATCCCCTCACACCCCACTTTCTGCAAAGAAGCAGTTCCATTTTTCCACTCTCTCTGTGGCATTTATTCTGTTGATGTCACCTTCCACCAGGCTGCTTCCAGCATGAATTCCTTTCTCCTCAACTGAAAATGCCCCCACCCCACCTGCCTGCTCCACTCCTTTTCCAGGACAACAGCAGGGTTCCCTGTCTGTCCAACTGCTCTTCCCTCTCTTTGAACTCTATGCCCACCTATCGTTTACTCCTGACCCCTTCCTTCCACCCTATCTTCTGCATATTAACCAACAATTTCCTAGCTACCATCAGTTCTGAGGAAGGGTCATCGGACCTGAAATGTTAACTCTGATTTCTCTTCACAGATGCTGCCAGACCTGCTGAGGTTTCCCAGCAACTTCCGTTTTTGTTTGTGATCAGGTTCCTTTTGTCCTTGCTTGCCACCCCACTAGTCTTCTCATTCAAAGGTTCATCCCTGCCACCTCCAGCAAGATGCCACCACCAAACACATCTTCCCTGCCTCTCCACTGTCAGCATCGTGCAGGAACCATTCCCTCCATGCTCAGGTATTTACTTGTACTTCTTTCAATCTAGTTTATTGCATTCACTGCTCACGATGCAGTCTGCATTACATTCATGAGACCAAATGTAGACTAGGTGACCACTTTGCAGAATACCACCTCTCCATCCCTAGGAATGACCTTTACCTCCCAGTTTCTTGTCATTTCAATAAACCATCTTGCCCTTGTGCTAACATTTATGTCCTGGCCTGCTGCGATGTTCCAACAAAGCACATTGCAAGCTTAAAAAACAAAATCCCATTTTCTGCTTAGGTAATTTCCAGCCTTGAGGCCTCAATATTTTGAATTCAGTAACTGACCACATTATGTCTGTTATCCATTTTTCCTACCTTTTCTCTTCTTTCTCTTTTTTTTCTCTTTTCTCTCTCTCTTTCTCTGTCTCTGTCGCTGTCTATCTGTCTGTGTGTCTCTCTCTCTCTCTCTCTTTCCCCGCCCCCAACCCCCATCTCCCCCAACAACGCTGTCTTGTTTACCCTTGGTATAGAGGAGCCATTCCCTCATTTTCACACCTTACCTTTACACACATTTTGCATCTCTTTTCCTCTTCCTCACAATTAACAACCCCTTTTGTCATTTGCACTGAGCTTCTGCCTCTGTCAAAAGTATGTTTTAAAAAGAATTTACAATACCTATCCTGTCTGACAAATACATAGTGGACTGGAAATATTAATTCAGTTTCTCTGTCCAGAGATGCTTCCAGAGCTGCTGAGTTTCTCGGCATTCTCTGACCCAGATTTCCAGCATCCACAGTATTTTGGCTTTATTACAATGCTGAGGTTAGTTGCACATAATGTGATTTTCAGAAGGACACCAATAAGGAATTTGAAGTTTATGGCATCATATACTATCATACAGAATGAATGTCAAATAAACTTTCTGTGAGCTAACTACTTATTGAAATCCTGTGATGGACATTTCATAAAACTGTCGACTATTATAGGGATAATCAATTATAAATGGTTTATAACTAAGCAGAACACAGTTGTAATAATGTGTGGTCTCCATTTAAAATGTCTCCTAACTGAAAATGCTCTTTCTTGAAGTGCTGATTATGAATATATGCTTCCTGGATAATTTTTATTTAAACATTTGCAACTGCCATTCCTTCATAAGGTTCATATACTGTGAAATAGAATTAAGACGGAAGATCTGTATGGATTTCTGATTGTTGCAAGGAAGATTTGGCTTTTGTATGGGGCTTTTACTGTAATGTCATTTGAGTAAAAGATTGAAAATAAAATCATTCAAGAAAACGCTCCCTGGGCTATTTATAAACTTTATAATTTTATAAATTATAACATCAGATCTCCAACTTTAGCTCACTTTTTAGTCTTGTGATATTTGAACTACTGCACTGTCACCTCTTGAACAGTACTCACATTTGTAATTTAGCAGTGGTTGCATTTTTGTATAGATCTAGTTTTGACTTAAAGTATAAATAATTTTGAATATGCACATTAGAGAGGGACGCCAATCGCTTTATATATAATCCTTCATAAAAATAACTCTTATCTGAAGGAACGCAGCCAAGTTGTTCACGTGTCTTGTTCTATATGTTGACAAAATTAGTACATGTTTCATCGTTCACAGTATTTTTTTTTGTTCAATATGTGAAAATCTTGAGATTATGCCTACAGAAAAGCCATTCATAAATGTTTACAATCTAACACCTTTTAATGTAATAAAATGTCCCAAGGAATCTTCACAGAGGCATTACCAAACAAAATAAGTTTAAGCCACAACGCAATAATGGGAACATGATCAAAAACTGGGTTTTAAGGAGGAAAGTGAAGTGGAGCGACAGTTTTGAGGCGTTAATTCCACAACTGAATGCACAGCCTGTGATGCTGGAGCAACTAACATTCGCTTTTGCTCTAGCGTTCTCTTCTCCCGCTTCCCCCCACCCCCCAACCTTTTTTTCTTTCACCTCTCTGGTTCTACAGCCACTTCACTCAGTCCCTCCTTTTTTCTCATTCCAGTTAAAAACAGACTACAATATGACTGAAAGAGCCAGGATGGGTGGGGGTGCCAGATATTCCACTCATGAGGGTGTGGAGATAATCTTGGCACTGGCTGGTGAGGACCAAGACCACTTGTGTGATGCTGAGGTACCCATGTCCCAGCCACTCAGTTAAGAAGCATTGTTTGTTGTTATGCCATTCTCCCATTACCACAAGGTGAATGTATTATTATCGTGCCACAACTTCTATCTCTTGGTCACAACATTTCTCTCTTGTTGTAGTTGGTTGGTTTGCCAAGCTGGTTCGTTGTTCCGCAGCTGTTTCATTACCCTGCTGGGAAATGTCTGCGGAACAATGAACCAGCTCGGTGAGCCAACCAACCACAACATCCGCAACCCGAGCTACAAATCTGCTGTAAAACCTCAGATTTCTCTCTTGTCTCCCTCAGGTACACGCAGCATCTCTAGAGTCTCTGGTCAAGAGTGCAACCCTGCAAGTAATTCCCCCTATCTCATTTGATCTGCCTCAGGGATGCTTCAGAAGAAGCATTGGTAAGGCTTACCCCGACTCCCAGCTCAAATACTGACACCAGTAAATTAGAGCCAGGAGCACTGCTGGTCAGCGCTTCACTGCTGAAGATCAGGTATCTGCTTGGTCCTAGGCAGGAGACGATCCTGTGATGTCAGCAATTCAGGCCTTTATACAGATGCACAAGCAGACCCAGGAGTGACAGGCAGATGTACTGGGGATGTGGACAGTCTGGACAAAGGCTGCAGGTATACAACCACGCATTTAACGCTGCTGCCTCAAGTGTATGAGCATCTAGCTGTCTCCTTGGACAGTTTGGTAGCTGCCATGG